CTGAAAATGAAAGTGAGACGACAGTTTCGGAATCCACCTGGATTCCATCCTCAGGCCTGAGGAAACTGTCGTCTCACTTTCATTTTCAATAAATCTAGTTTTTACATTGTGGGTTTTTCTACCATATATATATATATATATATATATATATATATATATATATATATATATATATATATATATATATATATATCAAAGTTTTTGGGATGTTAAAAGTTCTGTTATGCTGGTGTGCAATCAGCATTTACTCCTATATTGAATGGAATTTAACAGAATTCTCAAGACCAAGAAGTGAAGCCCGCACGTCGTGTGTTTTAGAGGTATATGAGTATGGTCTTTAGAATATGTATATACATATATATATATATATATATATATATATATATATATATATATATATATATATATATATATATATACATATATATATATATATATATATATATATATATATATATATATATATATACATATATATATATATACATATATATATGTACATATATATAAATACACACACACACACACACACACACACACACACACACACACACACACATATATATATATATATATATATGTATGTGTGTGTATGGGTGTGTGTGTGTGTGTGTGTGTGTAATGACAGATGCAGATGCAGGCTGCTGAAACAGAAGGGGGTGTGACCTCGCCTTGCCCCCCCCCCCCCTGTTCTGCAGCTGCTGTCCATCGCCACGTCTCCGGTGGCGACTCGCCCCTCGTGCCCTAGGATGACTCAGTCGCCTCCAGAAGTCCCTGTGTCAAGACCCCACCAGCCTCCGGCCTCCGCTTACCGGGGAGCGCCACCGCCCTCACTTTCATTCTCTCCTTCTGAACTTAGGATGCGCATTTCTGTGAGATTATGGTGTTGCCGACAAATATGAATTAGCGTTCATTAAGTATTCAATTAAATTCTCTCGTTATTAGAGATTTACATCGTTTCAACTGCAAGGAATTTAATGCGTTATGATTTTCTCTCAAATTGAGAAGTGACTCCTTGTGATTTCACATAGTTGTTTTATGAAATTCGATGTATTTTTTAGAATATTAGAAATTCACTCGTTGTTACTCTTTCAGTTCATTTAATTTTCTTACTAATATCATTTAGCTTTCTCATTTATTTCTACTCTCACCCTTCTCCTTGTTCCGACCTGACTTCATTTTCCATTTCCCTTCCTGTTGGACACGTGGAGGGACCATGAGATGACCACTCGTTTTTCCCGTTATTTGGTTGTTGTCGTTGTTTACACCATGGGGATAGCCGTAGTACTGTTATATTACTCAATGGGGACACGTTCTATTGGCGCCAGAACGGAGCTTCTAACTCGATGTTGTATGAGTTTATTATTTGAGTTAAAATCTCTCCCATATCATAGTGCACAGGGATGCCAGATATAACCCAGGGTTGTGTATATCACCTAATAGATCTACACTCCTACGTACAATAGTAGGTAAAAGTAAAACCGAAGTTATTTGTTCGATTAGCAACTTTTATACAAATCAGTGTGACCCAGAGTTACGTTCATTCATTAATGTAGGACTAAGGATTTAGTTAGAATCATTATTCGCTTATCAATCACGCCCTTCTCACCCTCTAGAAGACGCTTGTTCTGGGTAAAATCCCAGGCGATTGTGTGATTCGTGATAGTTAGAAAGCCATAGGGAACGGCACGATCACAGATTCGCAGAGTAGAACGGGCTAATTATGGAATTTTTCTGTGTCGTCTCAGTTCACTTCATTTCGTCTGCAATTTGGGTACAGGGACCCCCTGTTGATGAAGTCTAACGTTGAGGAGGTCTACTTCAACATATCAGAATTTTGTGCCGAATCCGAAATGTAGATTAAATAGAATCGTGGATTGCATAATACACTTCTGAATCGGAAAGATTTCCTTGTGAGAAGCTGGCAATCATTTTTCATGTCACCGTTCAC